TAATACATAAAAGTAGTTAATTAATAAATAATAAAAATTAATTTTAAATTTTAAGTTTTAAATTGTTACGAGTTTTGCCGTCTAGATCACGTGGAAGTGCTCTAGGCTCTCGAGGTGGTTTATAACTAGGCGTCAAGCAGGGACTTAAGTAATGACAATAATGATATGCAATTCGTAACTAATAGTAGGATATACTAAATGATTGATCTTGAGCACGAAGCTCTACACAAAGGAAACCATCCTGATTATGTAGACCTTCGTCCTCCATTGGATCTCTTGGATCCTGAGAGTTTGTGGACCTTCGATTCGTATGGACCTACGATTCGTATCCCTGAATATGCAGGGTCCATCACGTGACTTGGATCAGACTATATGTCTGTGCTTGCTGAAGGTGGGGAGACTCTACGAACCGATTACCATACAATTTTGTATGTGAATCGGTTTGCTTTTCCACGGGGTCTAAGCTCATATGGACAGGTTGACTGTTACTACGTAACGTAAATTCAGAATATTATACAAATTAAATATTTACTTTTCTATTCTTATTTATTTCTTACTCTCTTATTCTCTTATTATAAATGAATACTAAATAAATACTAGATAAATATCCCATCACAAACCATTAAAAAACTCCCCTTTTAGAAAAAATATCAAATATTATTACATCAACTTTTAATTATATTCTCTTCACCCTCCAATATTCATCCATTCATTTATTCATTCTAATATACATATACAGTTCAAACGAATTCTTTTTTCCTTATTCCCTTCCCTTCCCAATCAGTTAAATGCATGATGTGATATCTCTCTCGGCTTTATCAAGTATCAATCAAGTCTACTCAACCATCTCATGTGTATCCTCGCAGCACTCTCGCGCAAAAACTCAAACTCAAACTCAAACTCAAACTCAAACTCAAACTCAAACTCAAACTCAAATTCAAATTCAGATTTAAGATTCAGATTCAGATTCACAAGTACGAGTAAAATCTACTCATCATTATTTCCTGCCGCCGTCCCCGTCATTGGTGTATCAGCATCCTCGTTTACTGTTCCCGGAGAATCATCTTGTAGATTCGCCGCGCCAGGATTAGCATCGGCATTGTCATCATCGTCTTCATCATCTTCAATAACACCCCTTCTGCTCTTCCTCGTGCTTTTGACGACTTGTTCTTCCTCATCGCTATCACCACCTGCCGCATTGACTTGACTAGTAGTTTGGCCCCCCATCTCCACATCTTTATCTCCTCCAGTCTCTCCTTCCATTGCTTTCCTTACCTCTTCAGCACCATCATCCCCATCACTGTCACTTTCCACCACAATCTCACTACTCTTGTATTTACTCTCCTCTTTCTTTTCCCCTCCTTTCTTAGCCAATCTCCTCTTCTTCGTCTTTGGCTTCTCCTCATCACTTCCACTACCCCTCCTAGCTTTTCTACTCCTTCTTTGTGATCTACCGCCTTCTTCAGCACCTGAATCATCATCCTCGGTAACTCCATCCTCCTTCTTTTTACGCTTTCCACCCCCTGATCTTCCCTTTGGAATCTTCTTTCGCTTCACTCTCTCACCCGTCTCACTATCGGTCGTCATTTCCGCAGCTTCTCTAGCAATGTCATCAGCAGCTCTCGCTTGTGCCAATTCACGATCTCTCTCAGCAATCTTTTGTCGCTCTTCCGCAATCTTTGCTTTACGTTCAAGGTCGGCCCTTTCAGCCGCCTCACGCGCCTCTTCCCTGCGTCTTAATTCGGCTTCTCTCTGTTCTTTAGCTGCCTGGATTTTCGAAGCATTCTTTTCTTCGTATTCTTTTTGGGCCTGTATTGAACGTTCTAATTGACGACGCATGGTATTCCGTGCCATGTTGGCTCTTTGCTCAATGTCGTGTTTAGGGTAAGGTGGACTAGGATGCTGGGCAATAGCATCAAGTGCTTCAATGGCATCCTCTAGACCTTTGGCTGCACCTTTGACTTCGTCAAGGGATCTTCGGGTTTCTGGTAGATTGTAAATCGTTGTTGCTAGTTGAAGTTGTACAAATGCAACATTGAACTTGTAGTGAACTTGGTCAGGTGTAATCTCGAGAGCCTATGAAGGATTAGTATTGAAAGATTGGATGTTAAAAAAGTGATTTACCTTCAATGAATAATCAAGGGCACTCTTGAACGCTGATAAGCTCTTCTCAGCTTTTCCCTTCGACAACCACGTTCGTCCCAAACAAGTTAGGATGTGACTATCGTGAGCTCGATCTTTCGTCAAAGCAGCCTCGTAATGTTCAATAGCCTTGGTATACTGTCGCAGTTCCGCAAATATATGACCAAGATTGATGAATACACTTGGGTCCTTGACTGTGTCACGTACTTTCACGAAAGATAGAAAGCGCAGTTTTGAAATCCTTTTTGTCCTCGACGAGTGCAATTGCTACGCCCTGAGCAGCATAAGCACTTCTGGGGTCTAGTTGTAAAGCTTTGGTCGAAGAATTCAACCGCTTTAGTATAGGTTTT